CGTCCGCATGCAATTCGTGAATTTTTGAAGGCACTTCTTTTGTTATTCCGGCTCCGGAATCTACCTCCTCCGCCGGGTTTTTCCTCTCCAGCCCGACGTGCAATATGCAAACGGTCATTTCGTTAATGAGCGTGGGGCTGGTGGGTGGTGGGTGGTGGTTCAGGGTTGAAAAAGAAAAATTCAGAAGCAGCAGCGAACTACAACTTTTACGGGGCATCCGGCGGATGAAGTGGGTTTAGCGAAGCAGGGCGAGGAGCAGCTGGCGGAAGGACCATGACCGGTAGGCAGTGGCCATAAAGCCGACTGCTTAGATAGACAGCAGCCTGTGTTCCCAGTCGCTGCTGTCCGGATGACTTGGTTTATTTTACGTAATGAAATGAAATTGAAATGAATGTTTTATAAACGGTCTGTTTTGCCCACTCTATCCAAATCTATCCATCTCACTCTTGCAGAACATAAAATTATGATAAAAACTAAGAGCTGAATATAAACATAATTGCGATTTTTTGCCACCCAGCACCTCATTCGTGTCGTATTTTTCAATGAAAATCATTGTAAATGCTTTAAACAGTTCACCGTGAATTAACATAATTAAAACGCCGGCATAAATATTTATGAGCAATTTGTAATTACGCGCATAAAGACAAATACGACAGAACCAAAATATTTGAGGGACTTTACACATTGCATTTGCATACAATTGTGCGACATAAAAATATACGTATTGAAATACTTCGTATCCTCTTGGATGGCGAGAAACAGAGTCCGGGGATTTAATTAAATTTAAGTTAATGTTGTCACCGCACGAGACTTGCTGCTGCTTGTTGCGTGCTGCATGTTGCTGCTGCTGCGGCTTTTGGTTGGAATTCGGTTATTAAACATTCTGCGGGTGAATTTCCTCGTGGGACTCGTACGCCAAAAATGTATCGAATTCAATTAGTATGGAGACCACCAGTTGCCTTGCTCGCTGCCAAGATTAATGGGTAGAAATTAAGCCCACGAGCTTGTAGAACCTACCTGTTAATCAGATCGTGGGCCGTTATCGTCAGCGGATCCTTGGGTATTACCATCTCAAAAAATCTCATCTCTGACTTCCTGAAAAATCACTCAATCCATCTTTGAGGATGCAATGCAGCTTTCTAGACCATCGTAGAAATATCGCAAGGTTTAAAGATAGAGATATTTTGAGTGTGTATTTTAATTGTAGTGCTGCCAATTTTCGATTTGTAATGGCTTCATTGAAGGAAAGACATATACATCAAATGCTCGGTTCAGACTATTTGAAAACTACCAGAAGCGTTTTTTTAAATTGTATCTATTCTACTGTATCTATTTTCGTTGTATTATTGTACACCTCTTAGACGGCTAGATTAATATCCTCGCTTTATCACGAAGCCTCCATATCTGGTATAGCAGTCCCCATGTGCTTTATTTTTGTATCGATCGTAAGTATGGACCAGAAAGATGGACCGTACTGACGTAAAATCTATATTTAGTATAACTATTTAAGACACAATTGTGCAATTGACATATTCAGCACTTCAGTGCAAACTTTTGAACACTAAATGTAATAGAAAGTCGATTTAATATGCTCTTATTTCGAATTTCAGGTTCCACCATTAAGGGCGTCGTGGCCATTCTGAATTGTATCCTAGCACGTCAGCTTTGCTTCGAGGATCCCTCATGTTCGGCCATTTTGGAAATAATACCGCGCGTCTGCGGGCCCATTCCAGGTAAATAAACAAACCAGTCATCCAGTGAAACATATTGAAATCAAATCGATAATTTTGCCGCGCCCTGATGAAATGTTTACACAAAATCTATAGGTTTTTGTGTCAAGTGTTTGCGGAGCTCTCGAGCTTCCACCTGCGGCGTTCAACGCTGATTATGCACAGGTTTTGGTCATTTGAGAATTAATTTCCGCTGCCAGTGCGAGTCGGTTGAATATATTATATTTTTTCATCGTTCTTATTTGCTTGGGGGCTTTGTTGTTGTGGCTGCTTCGACAACTGTGTAATTATTTCAGCAATTTTTGAGGGTTTCGTGAGCAGCCGCGCGTGCAATAAAACAGTAAATAACAGTGTACACTTAAAGCGCAACAGAGACCGCCAAGGAGATCGACCACGAAACGCCAGCGAAAATCATTTGAATATTCAAATGCCCCCGAGAGTTTCAACGCCGTCGAGGCGGGTCGAGTCGATGGCCTGTTTCTGCAGTACCCTGTAGAAAAGGGCAGACGGTGTGCAATGCACTCTGGCGCACAGGGCGTATGAGTAATATTTCGAGTCACATTATGTGATGTATGCCTGCAGACAACGGTATATCCTATATTCCTATTCTTCGTTATTTTCGGTATAGTTTGACTACATCTTAGTATTTTAGGGCCTTATTCTATTCAAATTATAGTTACTATATATCATAATTCATTGAATACATAGTTGAAAATGTGTAGTTTGAAGAGTAGAAATTTTATGACATTTTTATAGAAATGGTGTATTTAGGCTTCCAAATATTAAATAGGCCTCATTGTATATGATTACTTGAAAGATTACGCTTTAAATGTCACTTAAGCTCAAACTAATGGGTATTTCTTATTTAACATTTGACTTTTAATCTTCTGTTTGTTTTCCCAACGCAAGAGTATGAGTGTGTGTGCGTGCGGTAAGCGCACATGACCTGAGGGTGTAAAATGAAAAAGAAATGCGTGGCTGAGGGCGTCCTCCTTACGGGCGCCCACCTCATGCCCACCCACTGGCCCACCTGTCAACCCGCCCACCTGGCCTCTCATTCATGCACCTGCCACCTATTCATTCTGCCGCTCAAACAAAGGCCGGCGACGGACGAACGAATGAGCGCGCCGCACAAAAAGTTAATTTATAAATTATTCAGTAATTTGTTTTAGACTCTGCTTTAGCTGCTGCCCCTCCCACCGCAACAGCAACAACAATGGAAATAAATTTCTTTTGTGCCTGGCTTTGATCCGCCCCTCATTCAAAATGTCTATCTAAGCCGGGACTTTTCCGCAAACACTATCCACCGACCACTCATTCCCGGTTCATCGTCATGGTCGCGTAGTTGCGTCCCTTTCCGAGGAGCTCCGTCCGGAGTATCGTGCGCATAAGTCCGCTCTTATATTTAATTATTAATGTTCATTCGGTCCGGCCAGCGTCTTGTGGCATTTCTCAGCTTTCGCCGAGCTCCGCGGAACGCCACGCCATCATCATCCAGCACCACGTTGGCTTCCATTTAAGTGGCTTTCACCTTTGTGCGGCTGCGGAGCAGCACGGCGAAAAAATCGCATTTAAAACGGAGCATTATCGGCTTTAGTTCGCTCAAGGCGAGCTTTCTCTTTTATGCACTCAAAAAAAGAATCCAAATTGGAGGTCGAAGAGTATGTCAACTTGAAAACTGAGTAGTCCCAACTGAATAAGACTGCATGAACATTATTAGAGACTTTAAGACATGCCATTTTATTTTCAATTTTCTCTTTCTTGTCATAACAGCTATAGCCTAACTGGATTTGCCATAAGTATACTAGGTTACATTTTGTGTGTGTCTCTTTCGATGTGTGTGTATTGCCTTTGGCTTGCAAAGTATACTAAGTTTTTTTAGAAGTGGTGAAAAATGTTTGCAAATAAGAGTTAAAAATAAAGGTCGCATATTTTTCAGGGTGTACCTGTATTTTATTTTGATTTCCTTGCCACCGCAGCTCATTTCCGTTCTCGAATAAGCAGGGAAACGAATATACAAGGCTATACCCATTACGGCTGAGGCTTGGACCACTCGACGCAAAGGATCAAGTGGTCGTAGCCGTGGCCATTAAGGACTTCAATGGCAGCAGCTGCATCCTGCCGGAACTTGAAGTGCACATAGGCGAATCCCTTGCAGAGGCCGGTGTTCTTTTCGCGCGCCAAATACATCTTGGTGTGGGGTCCGATTTTCTTTACCAGCTCTTCGAGATCAGCCTCGGTCATGGATTCTGATAGGTTTGAGATGCGAACCGCCGAGGAATCGTCACGATCCCGACCCCGTCCCCAATTTTTTCCGCCAGACCCTCCTCCGCCGTCCTTCATGAAGGGCGGTACATATTTACCCATCTTACTGGGATCACTTACAGCGGCAGCTGCAGCGGCATTGGCCTTGGTTTCCATCATGGTCTTGCTGTCCATCGAGGTGCCCTTGTAGGGACAATTGACACTCCAGTGCTCGCCGTTGCAAATGCGGCACTTGGCGATGTTCTTGCCCGGATCCAGTTGGGTTTCGTGCGTCTGGTCGAACTCCTTGGAGCCGATGAACTGCATAAAGATCTCCTCGGAGGCCATGGTCGTCTGGGAGTTGGGTCCGGGCTTGTCCAAGAGCGAATCTCCAAACTTTACCCAGCTGCGACGACGCGCCACAGCCTTCGGAACAATCTGCTTTTCGATCTTGAAGGTGCGCACCACTTTCACCTTCTTGCCATCATCGTTGAACTTGTACTCCGTCACGTACTTGTAGTCGCCCTCTATGTACTCATTAGAAGGCGGCAGTCCATCTACATAGTCCGCCTCCACCTCATCGGCCCAGGAAGTATTGAAGGCTTTCATTTTCTATGATTTCCTAAACGACTTGTCCGAAATAATTTTAAAGAACTTCACCACTTGAATGTTACTAGAAACGTACAGGTAAGCCTGCTGCGATGGGATATGTTCGAGAAATTCCTTTTAAAATAAAATTCACTTTGCTTTAACAATTTTAATATTTTTAATAAAAAATACAACAACTCATGAGCAATACATTGAGATTAAATTGCAACTGAAACTTACCAAGGCTAAATAATTCAATCAATCTTTATGATGTTATACATTTTTAGACTATCATACGCAGTGCTCAATAAAAGTAAATTCTCTTCAAATGTAAAAGATTTATTTCATTGAAATTAATCAGTAAACAAATTAGTTCTTATCTCTGGCTTAACCAAGAGTGTAAAGAATCGCTCTCCCATTGATAAGAGTCCACTTGAGACCAAGCTGAAACTTAATCAGCACTCGAGCAGTTAGTTAACTCTCACTCCTCTAATCTGTCGGTTGTTCTATTGGCCTTAACATGATGCTCTTAAAGCACCCGAAAACCAGCCAATTAATAGAAATCAATGAGTTTTGGCTTCGTGATCATTGTCGATGTGGGGAGTGCCTAAACTTGGTAACAAAGCAAAGGCGATACGATGTCTTGGATCTGCCAGCTAATGTGATGCCGCTGAGTGTCAAATACGAGGGGATGAATCTACAAGTGCATTGTAAGAAAAAAACATGTAAAGTGCACCTAGCTTCTATTTCGCTGCAATTTCAGGGAGTGATGCCCACCAGTCGAGCTATGACCTGGATTTCATATTCGACTCACAGCTGGAGAGCTTGAAAGGTCGGCGATCAAAGTCCAGTAATCTGACACCCTGGAATCGCAGCATTATCTTGCAAAACGAACGGCACTTACGATTCCAATTGCCCCAGCTGGTTTCCAGTGATAGTGAAGTCAGATCCCTGGTTGAATCTCTGGTCCGGTACGGCATTGTCTTTATCGATGATGTGGCTCCCACTGCAAATATGACGGAACTGGCTCTGCGACGAGTCTTTCCCCTTATGAAAACGTTCTTCGGCGAAATGTGGACCTTTAGCGATAACCCCGATCACGCGGATACCGCGTACACCAAACTTTATCTGGGCTCCCACACGGATAACACTTATTTCTGCGATGCAGCCGGATTACAGGCTCTACATTGCATTGAGCACTCGGGAGCAGGTGGCGAAAATTTCTTCGCGGACGGTCTGCATGTGGTTCACGAACTTAGACGCCGGTATCCCGCTGCCTATGATGTACTGTGCAGGGTACAAGTTCCTGGAGAGTATATCGAAAAAGGAGAGAACCACCGCCACTCTGCCCCCATTATACAGGTGGATCCACTGACTCAGGACTTTGTTCAACTCAGACTGAATGTATACGACCGCGCCGTGTTTAATACCATTCCTCAATCGGAGATGGCCGAGTTCTACGAGAGTCTTCGCCAGCTTTTGCTGATTGTCAGGGATAAGGAACAGCAGTGGGCTCTGAAGCTATGTCCCGGCAGCATTGTGCTGTTCGATAACTGGAGAGTGCTCCATGGTCGAGAGGCTTACACTGGAAGTCGAACCATGACCGGTTCCTATGTGCAGCGCACAGATTTTCTCAGCAAGGCTCGGGTGTTGGGAATTATCGAATGACAGCCGCGAATGGTAATCCCTATTCTTGTCCTATTTTTGATGGTTAATTCCAAAAAAAATTTTAAACGGGATAGCAAGCTAGCAAGCAAGCCGAATCTTATATTTCCTTGTACAATTAATAGACTTGAAAAATAACAGAATTATATCCATTTATGATCAGCAAGACGGGAATCATGACTTATTTTCTATAATTTCTGATTAATGTTCCGAAATTTCCCTGCCTGAAAACCAAGTTACTAGTTTGTGTAAAAACGGATGGACGGACATGGACATATTGACTCGACTGTTGATACTGATCAAGAACTTCTTCACTAACTTCTTGAAATCATTATACCTTCTGATAGCTCAAATAAGAGCAAAGTGCAAAACCGTAACATTTTCCAGGAATATCATACATTGTCTAAGAAAATTGGAGTCCAGCTTTGTGAAAATAAAAAAATCTTCCGAACTGTTCCAGCATATTTCCTTTATCTGAACCGAGTCCCACTCCAATTCAATTTCGATTGCAAATGCTAACGCATCATAATAAAAAGTTACGATTACAATTGCTGGCCAGCGTCTAATTTTTGTCATAGGGGAGTTGGATCGCAAACGGAAACCGGCAACAAAAATCATTTGGCATTTGTTTTTATGGCCAGCGTCTCATGTGGGTTTTCTGTATTTGTGTACGAGTGTGTGTGTTTGGCATAAACAAACGCACTTTGAACTTTTTCATTTAAAAGTGAAATTACTTTTTGTTGGCCGTGCAGGTTAATGGCTGTCGCGCTGCTGTCCTTTAAATGTCCTCCAAATATGGATGTGCCTTAAAGAGATCCGGCAAACGGCGAACGTACAGTGTCTGAATATTTATGATAATTGCATTTCATGCAGGTTTTCCCGCCCGCTCTCCCGCTTTCCCGTTTTCCCGTTTTCCCGCTTTCGCCGTATTTCACCCAGCTCTCATATGCGCGGGCACGACCGGGAAAAGCCTTTAAAAGCAGCTTCGATGCCCCAGCTGGGCGATAAATATATTTTTGCTCGCTTTTCCTTCGGCGGAAGTTGCAGCGCAGCAGTCGTGCCTTTGCATGGCATACTTTTCGGCATTCCACTTCCGTTTTAAAACGCTGCACTCACTTTGAGCCACCGGGGCACTTGTCGATGGTTCAATAAAACCAACAAGCACCACGGACATGAGCATGGACACAAAGGACACACACATGACACACACGGAACAACGGAACAGGAAACAGGACATTCCGGCCGAAATAGTTCAAACACAAAGTGCCTGCTTGACTTACTCGTAATTAATATGTTCGATCATAATTTATACGCCCTTGAATGGCTGCTAAACTTAATGAATGACTCATAAATTTCACCTACAGACGCCATAAAAAGCCAAAGTATAATAAAAACAATGGCCAGGCCGAGGCAGCAAAAACAAATATCAAACTAAAATCAAATAAAACACGGCAGAAAAAAATGGCGAGCACACACAGTCAGGTGGCAGCAACAAACAAACAAACAAAGAAATCATTGAACCAATTCAGCGACCAACTCAACAACCGGAAACGCGTTTCGAATAAAAACGAATTGAGGACTTAACAATAACAGTAAAAGGCAAGGGCAATGGCGGCGCCACTTCAAACAAAAATGAAGAAAAAACACAACAGCAAATGGCGTCGCTTGATGGCGACGAAGCATAAAAACCACTCGCCTTGGCTTTATTTTTTATGGCCGCCCAGCATGCAATGACGAAACCAAAGCCAGGTGCCACTAACCAAGAAAAACCGATGGCCAGGACCTGCGGCCCGAGCGAGTGGCATCTAGTTAGCCGGCCAGCCATCAAATGCAGTTACCACACGGAGAGAAAGAAAGCAAACATGTTGGATATAATTTCAATGCAACTGTACATGCTTGAAAGCATGCAGAGTTATTTAAGGAAATAAGGAAATAGGTGTAACATATATTACACATTTTCCTTGTCTTACGCGGAAAACTCACAAGGACTGCAGATGAAAATCCCCACGAAAAACAAAAACTAATTTATTTAAAGAAAAAATGTTATTTTTCTTGCTGCCTTGCTGCTTTCTTTGGCAAAGAAATATCACTGAAAGTGACCTAATTACATAGTGTAGTATATCTAATACATAGTATATTACATAGTATTACATAGTATATCTAATTGCCAGGTTTTTATTTTTCGTTGCTTTCAAAGCAGTATTTTTCGTATCCATGCTCAAGGCGTAATTACGCTGTGTTTCCCTTTGATACGCAGCCAACGAGTTTTAATTGACACCACATGGGACCCCGAAAATCCCGAATCCAAAAAACCGAAAGGACAGCGACACGAAAGAAATAAAACGGTGCGGCAGCAAGGGGCATAAAAATGATGGATGCCTGAGAAAAATGTCACTTGTTGCGCAGTCGATGTCAGTGTTTCGATGTGTGCGTATATGCTGTCCAACATCCAGCATCCAGCTCCAGCGAACTCCCCTTCGCAGAATCAACTTTATGTTCAACTAGCAAATAATCATGTCCGGTCTGCATGGGACAAGGGCGTTATTGGATAGGTCGTAGGGCAATCACAGGGGTTACCGAGAGGGGGCTCAGTTTGGTTCGGTTCGGTTCGGTTCGGGTCAGTTGAGTGACGTGAACCACATGGTGTGGTGGCCACCACTAACACCACTACTCGCTTTCCATTATGCCGGACGGACTGGCATTGTCCGGCAGTTTGCTTGTTTTGCTTTTTGGCGATTTTACGGCTTATGACGAGCCAAACGGGTCCCTATCCCTGTTCCCAATGAGTGTGTGTGCGTCTCCTGCTCTGCTGGCCGTGTTTGTGAAGTGTTGGCGTAGCCGGGTTTATTAGTAGGGCTTATGTTTTATGGCCAAAAGGACAATAGATGGCCAACAGATGTTTGCCTTTTGTTTGGCGCAGCAGTTGGAGCAGTAGTGGTTGTCATACGCTCGAATAAGCTGTCACAGACCCACACACCGTAGAACCTATGTGTTACACATAATTTATTATGTTATAAAATATTATCCCGTCCCCGCTCCCTGCGCATCGCTTCATTGGGCGCTTAAATCGACCGTTTTGTTTGCAGACTCAATTATTCATATAGCAGTTGTTGTAACCTCCTCCCGGCTTTTATTATGACATGTGTCTGGTTAGTAGTTGTCTCGCTGCCATTTATAACAACTGTCATGGCCCGGACCTGCACTGAAAGAAATAACATTTCAGCTCCTCGACTATCTGATACCCGCTAATCTGCAACTGGAAAGGCGAGAGAGACGGAGATATGCAAAAATGAAAGCTAGTGTTTCCGAGGTTGCACACTAGCCCCACCTAGCGGCAGTCATTGGTATTGCTAAAAATCTTAATTTATTCAAAAACAACTAACAATCTTCGGGGTTTAGCTATTTGATAGCTGAATACATTTTTATGAATTTATTTACTAATGGTATTGAAAATTCTAAAGCCGTTCCAATAGCCGTTCAAAGCTGTTAAGCAAAAAAATAAAAATAGAGTAAATTATATCTTCATAAAGTTTTGAGTTTTGTAACTATTATTTGTAAAGTGTACCCATTCATATACAAAGCTGGTAATCGATGTGCAGAACCAAAAATGATACAGCACGACATTTAATGTCAAAGTTTAAGCACTGCTGCCATTTATAGATCATTAAGCATATCCGCCCAATCCCCGAAATGGATACAACTGCCACCTGCCACTCACTTGCGACACCATGTAGTACTCACTACCTTTCTCCCACTTGCAGTGTCCTGCAGCACGGTGACGGTGACCAAGTGCCAGGCTGCCCTGCGCACCCTGCAGGCCTTCCAGTTCTTCCGGCCCACCTGCCTGTGCAAGGAGCCCGGAATGGATCCCGACTGCAATCACTTTCGGGACTTTCTCTTCGATCATCCGTGCGGATTTGTGCTAAAGAAAGGTGCGTATGATTAATCTTGGAATTATAAGCTTGTTAACCGACTTTTAACTTCCAATATGCAGCCGAAAAGGATCCGTACCCCATTGATGCCCTACCAACTTGCAACCATGCACTTTCCGTCTGCCAACAGGAACGCAAATGTCTAAAGCTCTTCGAGGACTTCAAAACGCACTGCAAAGTGCGCGACAACAAGTGCAAAATGGAAAACAGGTAAGCCATGTCCTAAGAAATGTAAAACGCCCTTGGCGATTATTAAATTAAAAACTAAATAACGTAAACTTTATCAAGGATTCGTTGAATATGTATTTATCAGATTTTTGATCAATGTGGTAAAGTTCCAAAGAAGAAAACTCTTTAAAACATATTGCCGGCTTGCATATTAGCCATGTTCAAAAATACAAATGAATATTATCAGCTTTATGTAGACTGCCGAACGAGGGATAATTAGATAGTGGCCCAATTTCAGCGTAAAACGTAGAAAATTTAACCAAAGAGCGTTCATAACAAATTGATAGCTTTATTTAATGACACGAGCCAGGCCGTTACTATTAAAATATAAGTCAAATTATGAAAATGGAAAATCGAAGTCCACTACCAAGAGCCGAAGAGCCATTTCTGATAATGCAAATTAAATTAAAACGTGTTTGACTTAATAAGAAAATTGATTTGCTTCATGGCACAACGTGATTGCGCCGCTTAATGGTTAACGGCGAATGCAATTTGCATTGGCAGTTGGCAAAAAGTGGGGAAGATTGAGTGTACCCACGTGTTCTCCCAATCTGGCTTAAAAAGGGGAAGAACCACCAGCCACCAGCCACCTTCCAACATTCAATACTCGCGTTTATTGGCAAAAAACACAACGCACACAGCACGGAAGGCAGAAAGCAGACAGCAGCGTAAACAGGAGTCAAGTTGAGCGAACAGAAGGCGAAATGAAACTTCCTGCTTGCCGGCATCTTGCTGCTTCCTTTAGCCATCACATATCCTTACTGACGCGATTTCCTTCTTGCCAGGACTCGTCTGGCTCCTTGGCGCGATGGCTCGATGGCTCGTTGCCTCGATACACTTGAATACAAACGTTCTGAATGTTTTAATAACTCGAAATGACTTTTTGCGGCGGCACTTGGGAGTTGGGTGGTGGATGGTGGATGGTGGGCGGTGGGAGAGTTGGGAGCTGACTTCGGTGCAGACTTTCAAACTTGGTCTTAAAGTTCTCCACTTCCACTTCCACTTCAACTGGCGCCCCCTTTATCCCTCCAACCCAGCCTAAAACTTTTCGCACGCATGCCAGGCATTCTGGCTGCGGGTTTTTGGTTCGGGTTCAGATCCACCTATGCGATAAAATATTAATTGCAGCGCCGTGTGGGTACACTTGGAAAAATGTAGGGTTTGTTTAAAATATTAAATAATAAATTCGAAAATGGCTTAAGGCATCGCCCAATCTCTGAATAAAATTAAAACAAAAAATCATAATTCATAAATTAAATAAGTTTCCATGGTCGCTGCTTTTCAAAAGAGC